TTCAAGGGATTGCAACATGCATCTTTAACCTACAATTTACTTAGAGGTAATAATAAACTAAGGAAAATACATAAATCTTATGACATTATAGATCTGTTTACTTACCTTCCCATCTTTTGGTTTTTGGGGGTTTGTTTCCATGTATGGGATATTTATGTTTGTAAATAATTGGGTTTAGAATGCTTACTTTAAAACGATATCCTACAGCCCACAGGCCAAATCCAAACTGATGCCTGCTTTTGTGCAGACTGTGAATTAGGAATGGTTTTTATAATTTAATTATTAAAAAAATGCAAAAGCAAATTAATTCTGATCCAAGAAAATTCAAATCTCAGTGTCCATTCATAAAGTTTATTTGAAACACAACTTTGCTCATACATTTCACACACTGGTTGCTATGGTTGCTTTCATGCTAAAACAGCAGAAAATGTTCACCAACACCTGCTTGACATAGTCATGTGTTTTAAAGAAAGAAGGAACCTGGCTGATATAGTTCAGTGGATTGAGCGCAGGCTTGCAAACCAGACAATTGCGGTTCGATTCCCAGTCAGGGCACATTCCTGGGTTGCAGGCCGGTTCCCTGCAGGGGACGCACAAAAGACAACCATACATTGATGTTTCTCTCCCTCTCTCCTTCCTTTCCCCTCTAAAGATAAATAAATAAATTTTTTTAAAAAAGGGAAGGAATATTTATAGTATTTTATGTATAACTTTTCTCATCTTCATTCCATCCTAAAGATCTTAGTTATCATTGGGTGACATTTTGACCTTCAACCTGAAGAACTTCCTTTAGCATTTCTGATGTTTCAATATTGCTAGTGATGAATTCTTTCAGATTGTATCTGAAAACAACTTTATGTTGCCTTTATTTTTAATAGATAATTTTGCTGAAAATATAATACTTGGTTGAAGTTATCTTTGACTTTTAGAAGTTTGATTAGGATTAAATGAGATGTGGTTTCTTCATTTTTTATTCTATTGAGGTTCATTAAGCTTTTTGGTATGTAAGTTAAAAGTTTTTGGTAACTCACTGTGTAAAAGCCATTATTACCTTAAATTTTTTTCAAACTTTCTTTATCTTTCTGGGACAGTAATTATATCTACATTGGATTACTTTGAAATTGACCCACAGATCTCCATGATTTTATTTATTTTTCCTTATTCTTCTTTCTATTCAGATTGCTTAATTTCTGTTGATCTGTTTACAGGTTGCTGATTCTTTTTTATATTTCTGATCTGTTATTGAATCTATATAGTGAATTTTTCATATCAGTCATTGTACCTTAACTCTAGAAATTTCATTTGCTACTTTCTTATAGTTTACATACTGGTACTTCATGCCAGGTTTTCCATTACTTCTTTGAAACATTTAGAACAGATGCTTTGAAGTCTGGGGGCACAAAATCCAACATTAGGACTACTAATTAGTTACTATGGCTATATTTTTCTGAATATGGGTCATGTTCAACTTTGTTTTTGTTTGTTGTTTTCTTTGCACCTGCAGTAATTTTTGCTAGGAACTTGGATATCATAAATAATATGTTATAGTAATTCAAAATCCGATACATTATTGTTCTAAGGATTATTGGTTTTTCTCCCCTAGCAGGTGGTTAGTTTATTTAGAGTCAAGTTACTCTGCCCTACTGTTTACCCCATCACCTTTCCCTTCAAGTATGAAGCAGCTAATAGATCCTTAAGCTTCTAGCTGCTGCTTTTTACCCTGGCCCTCTGAGGGTAGGTAAGTTCTCCTTTTGCTCATGTTCTTTAGCTCTCAAGCAAGGAATTGGTGAGTGCTTATATACGAAGAATTTGGGTTTTACTTTCTCCAGTTCTTTTTTCAGGGTTTTACCCTTTATACTATCCTGCTGTTCTGTCAGTCCCCATTTCTGACAGCTGAGTCTGTAAGGCTTCAGTTTTTTACTACTTGAGCTATCAGCATGTTGTAGAATGCTGGTAATCAACCAAGCAGAAATTTCAATCTCATTAAGTGCACTTCTGTTTTTCAGAACTCTTTTCTGGTGTCTTTCTCTCTGCTTTTTTCTTTTTTTTTTTTTTAAGATTTTATTTATTTATCTTTAGAGGGGAAGGGAAGGAGAGAGGGAGAGAAACATCAATGTATGGTTGCCTTTCGTGCATCCCCTGCTGGGAACTGGCCTGCAGGGAACCGGCCTGCAACCCCGGCATGTGCCCTGACTGGGAATCGAACTGTGATTGTGTGGTTCGCAGGCCTGTGCTCAATCCACTGAGCTACACCAGCCAGGCTCTCTGCTTTTTTCTTAAGCCCTCTGTGATCTCTCCAACAGTTGCTCAGTTTAACTCTCAACCTGAGAGTTAACTCAGGTTGACTCAGTGTAACTCTCAATCTGAGTTCTGGCAGAGGTTATGCTCAGATTTTACATCTCATTCATTCTATACTTCTCTGAATTTCAGAATTTATCCCGAAATATTCAGCTCATCTGCCTTTCAGTTCTGTTCTGTACCATGTTTGAAGCAGGGCACTGTGGTTTACTGCTTTATTAAGAGCTGTGGAATTTGGGGTACAGTACTTCATGAAAAAAGGCCACAAATTTAACAGTTTTACCCATTGCATTTGCTGTCTTTTGAGCATATTTCTGCTTGTTTTGGTTATTTTTCAATGCCATCTATTCATTGGTTATGATATATTGTGTTCATATTTTGTTATTATAATCTGAGGGATTATTTTCTTGGCCAATTCATACTACGATCACTGGATGCCAAAAGTCACTCTCATGTATTTTAAAATCATACTCTTCTTTTTTAAAATATATTTTATTGATTGTGCCATTACACTTATCCCATTTCCCTCCTTCTTTTTCCTCCGCCCTGCAGACCCCCTCCCCCCCTTTAGTTCATATCTATGTGTCACAAGTTCTTTAGCTTCTACATTTCCCATACTATTCTTGCCCTTCCCCTGTCTATTTTCTACCTACCATCTGTGCTACTTATTTTCTATACCTTTTCCCCCCTTCTCCTCCTCCCACTTCCCTGTTGCTAACCCTCCATGTGATCTCCATTTCTATGGTTCTGCTCCTGATCTAGCTGTCTGCTTAGTGTGCTTTTGTTTTAAGTGTGGTTGTTAGTAACTGAGTTTGCTGTCCTTTTACTGTTCATATTTTTTATCTTCTTTTGCTTAGATAAGTTCTTTTAACATTTCATATAATAAGGGCTTGGTGATGATGAGCTCCTTGAATTTGATCTTATCTGAGAAGCACTTTATCTGTCTTTCCATTCTAAATGAAAGCTTTGCTGCAATGAGCAGTCTTGGTCGTAGGTCTTTGGATTTCCTGACTTGGAATACTTCTTTCCAGCCCCTTCTTGCCTGCAAGGTCTCTTTTGAGAAATCAGCTGACAGTCTGATGGGAAGTCCTTTGTAGGTGACTGTCCCCTTATCTCTTGCTGCTTCTAGGATTCTCTCCTTCATTTTAATCTTGGCTAATGTAATGATGATGTGCCTTGGTGTGTTCCTCCTTGGGTCCACCTTCTTTGGGACTCTCTGAGCTTCCTGGACTTCCTGGAAGTCTATTTCCTTTGCCAGATTCGTGAAGTTCTCCTTTATTATTTGTTCAAATAAGTTTTCCACTCGTGGCTGTTCCTCTTCCCCTTCTGGTACCCCTATAATTCTCATGTTGGAATGTTTAAAGATGTCCTGGAATTTCCTAAGCCTCTCCTCATTCTTTCTGAACTCTTGTTTCTTCATTCTTTTCTGGTTGGATGTTTCTTTCTTCCTTCTGGTCACTCCATTGATTTGAGTCCCTGTTTCCTTTCCATCACTATTGGTTCCCTGTGCATTAGTGTAGCCTTCATTTTTTCATCTAATTTGCAACCAAAATCAACCAGTTCTGTGAACATCTTGATCACCAGTGTTTTGAACTGTGCATCTGGTAGGTTGGCTATCTCTTTGTTGCTTAGAAGTATTGGCTCTGGGGCTTTGAGTTGTTCTTCTGTTTGAGCCATAATGTTTTGGTCTGTTCATGCCTGTTACATAAGAAGGGGGAAAGCTTAGGTGTTCACCAGGGTGGGTCAGTCCAGTAGCTGGGTTGTGACTGGGGGTGAAATGGTGTTTGTTTTCCTCTCTCGCAGATTTTGGACCCCTTTGCCGCTTCCCACAAGCAAATTGGGCCATTCTGGTGCTGGTTCCCAGGTGGGTGGGCTTGTGTACATTCTGGGACCCTGTGGGTCTCTCCAGCGAACTCTTTGTGAGGTTGGGAGCCTCTGCTGGCATCTCAACCCCCGAAAGTTTTTTCAATCAGTACTTTTAGGCTTTATTTCCCAGCTCTTGGGCCCTGGGCTGCACGGTCTGTCTCACTGTTCGTTTTTCACCTGGTTTATCGGTCTGGATAAATGGTTTGTTGTTGTCGGACTTCCATACAGTTCAATCTTCTGTCTGTTTTGGTTGTGTTTTTGTTTCTAATTCTTTGTTGTCCTTAAATTTGGTTGTGCAAGTAGGTACACTATATCCACCTACGCCTCCATCTTGGCTGGAAGTCCAAAATCATACTCTTCTTACACATCACAGTAATATTGAAGGGAAAAAATTCACCTCCTCAGTGAACACTCAGAAAATTGTTCTGCTGTTGTGATATACTGCATCTTTTATATTCTTTCGTTGTACTACCTGTAATACCTTTTTGTAGATTTCTGTTTACATATACCTCCTTGAAGGTATGTGTTACATGCTTTGAGGCTATAACTTCTTGTAAGCAGGGACAGCATTTTGTCTTGGCATCCAAGAGAATGAAGGCAGTTTTGCGGTACAAAGTGACTTCACAGTAAATAGTTTTAGAATGAGTTATTAAATAAATTTGGTGGCAGGTACTTGTACTTTGATTTTTGTTTTCTTCACAATGTAAATCATAAAACAAGAAAAATTATAGACTTTCTTTACAATTTTTTTTTCCAAATGCCACAAAGAAACAGGGTCAAAACTAGTCCTGAGTATCTAGTCAACTTGTTGTAATCATAGTTTCTATCCATTACAGGGATCAGTATCATTTAAAGATGTGACTGTAGATTTCACAGAGGAGGAGTGGCAGCACCTGGATCCTGCTCAGAAGACTCTATACATGGATGTGATGTTGGAAAACTATTGCCACCTCATTTCTGTGGGTAAGAAGACCTCTCTGAAACTTTCAGTAGCATATATTTTCTTTCATAGTGCTTAAAGTATGTGTGATCTTCAATTTCAGGGATAAGAGGTGATAAATCCTTTTTGGTTAGCAGAAATAATTTATCTTTCACTTGCCCAGTGCAAGGTGTTAAGTTGACTGTTAAGCAAAGTTGTATCTTAATTTGCACTATTGAAAATATACCTGCCCTGGCTGATGTAGCTCAGTGGATTGAGCATGGGACTGCGAACCTAAAGATCATGGTTCGATTCCCAGTCAGGGCACATGCCTGGGTTGCAGGCCAGTTCCCAGCAGGGGCCAGTTCCCAGCAGGGGCCGGTTCCCAGCAGAGGATGCACAAGAAGCAACCATACATTGATATTTCTCTCCCTCTCTCCTTCCCTTTCCTTCTAAAGATAAATAAATTTAAAAAAAAATTTTAAAGAAAATATACCTTACTAGTTTTCAAGAATATTGAACCCTAAGCAACTTAATCCAAATCTTCCCTTGCCAGGCTGTCACATGACCAAACCTGATGTAATTCTCAAGTTGGAAAGAGGAGAAGAGCCATGGACACCATTGAAAAGTCACACCTGCTTAGGTGAGTTTCTGATTCTGAGGCAGATGAAACTAGTGAAAAATAAATTTATAAGTGCTTATTAGGTTGATGGCAACTTTGAAATATTTTGGGAATGTTTTTTTAAAGGCTCTTAGCCTTTGAAATCATCATTATGCCTGCAAACTTTCTAATATCACTCTTACTATATTTTATTATTTTCTAGTTTGTTTGATGTTACCAAAGATAGTTGCCACTCTTGACTTAATCAAAATGTACCATGAGCCTTCTGTCTTTTAGGTCTTTTTTTATTTGTCTTTTTCTAGCATTGTCATTCCCTTCTCTCACTGCCATTGTATATATTTCTTTTAGGAATTCTTAAATCAGTCTTTCAAAAATTGAAAATTCTTGATTAATGCTTCTCTTCTTAGTTGCTTTCCATGTTTTTTCCCTTTCTTGCCTCAGACTTATTTGTTGTGCTAAGTCTATGTTCCCATTCTTACCATAAACTTAGCTATTAGTTTTAAAACTCTTATGCTTGGCCCATACTGATAATTCCATAATTAGCATTTTCTTTCATTAAAATTTGTTGTTGTTTTATTAATTAATTAATTAATTAATTTAACCTCGCCCAAGGATATGTTTATTGATTTTAGAGGGAAAGGAAGGGGGAGAGAGAGACAGACACAGAGAGAGAGAGAAACATTAATGTGAGAGACAAACATCAATAAGCTGCCTGCCATATGAACCATGATTGGGGGTCAAACCTACAACCTAAGTACATACCATGACCTGGAATAGAACCTATGACCTTTTGTTGTATGGCATGATGCTCCAACCAACAGAGCCACTTGGGCAGGGCTTATGGTTCATTTTATATGGCTGATCACCATTCTCTAAGTCAATCCTTGGCTCTTGTTTTTTAAATATATTTTATTTATTTATCTATTTGCTTTTTAAAATATATTTTATTGATTATGCCATTACACTTATCCCATTTCCCTCTCTTCATTCCCCTCCACCCTGCATACCCTCTCCCACCCACATTTCCCCCATTTAGTTCATGTCCATGTGTCATACGTTCTTTGGATTCCACATTTCCCATACTATTCTTGCCCTCCCCCTGTCTATTTTCTACCTACCATATGCTACTCATTCTCTGTACCTTTTCCCCCTCTCTCCTCCTCCTACTCTGCTGTTGCTAAACCTCCATGTGATTTCCATTTCTGTGATTCTATTCCTGTTCTAGTTGTTTGTCTGGTTTGCTTTTGTTTTAGATGTGGTTGTTAATAATTGTGAGTTTGCTGTCATTTTAGTGTACATGTTTTTTATATTCTTTTTCTTAGATAAGTTCCTTTAACATTTCATATAATAAGGGCTTGGTGATCATGAACTCCTTGAATTTGGTCTTATCTGAGACGTACCTTTATCTGTCCTTCCATTCTAAATGAAAGCTTTGCTGCAGTGAGCAGTCTTGGTCGTAGGTCTTTGGATTTCCTGACTTGGAATACTTCTTTCCAGCCCCTTCTTGCCTGCAAGGTCTCTTTTGAGAAATCAGCTGACAGTCTGATGGGAAGTCCTTTGTAGGTGACTGTCCCCTTATCTCTTGCTGCTTCTAGGATTCTCTCCTTCATTTTAATCTTGGCTAATGTAATGATGATGTGCCTTGGCGTGTTCCTCCTTGGGTCCACCTTCTTTGGGACTCTCTGAGCTTCCTGGACTTCCTGGAAGTCTATTTCCTTTGCCAGATTCGTGAAGTTCTCCTTTATTACTTGTTCAAATAAGTTTTCCACTCGTGGCTGTTCCTCTTCCCCTTCTGGTACCCCTATAATTCTCATGTTGGAATGTTTAAAGATGTCCTGGAGGTTCCTAAGCCTCATTTTTTTTTGAACTCTTGTTTCTTCATTCTTTTCTGGTTGGATGTTTCTTTCTTCCTTCTGGTCCACTTGATTTGATTTTGAGTCCCAGTTTCCTTCCCATCACTATGGTTCCCTGTGCATTTTGCTTCATCTCATTTAGTGTAGCCTTCATTTTTTCATCTAATTTGTGACTAAAATCCACCAGTTCTGTGAGCATCCTGAACACCAGTGTTTTGAACTGTGCGTCTGATAGGTTGGCTATCTCTTTGTTGCTTAGAAGTATTGGCTCTGGGGCTTTGAGTTGTTCTTCTCTTTGAGCCATAATGTTTTAGTCTGGTCCTGCCTATTATGTAGTGAGGAGCAGAGCCTTAGGTGTTCACCAAAGTGGGTCAACCCAGTTGCTGGACTGTAATGCTGTATGTGTGGGAGGGGTCCAAAAGGGAACAATAATACTTACTCTGCTTTCTGTAGGACCTCAGTCTCTTCTACCTCTTTCCACAAGCTAACTGGGCCCTTCTGGTGCTGGTTCCTGGGTGGGTGGGCTCATGTACGTTCTAGGACCCTGTGGGTCTCTCCAAAAAACTCTCCTGTGAGGCTGGGAGTCTCTCACAGTGCCTCAGCTTCCTCAGGTGTTTTCAGTCAGTGTTTTGAGGCTTTATTTCCCAGTGCTAGGACCCTGGGTTGTGTGGTCTGTCTCACTCCCCAGTTATCTGCGTGTTGATGTGGGACCACCAGGTGAGCCAGTCGCCTTGCACACAGTGCCTCGCTTCACACTCACCCCCTCACTTGGTCTGCCCATTGCCACCCCTTGCCTGAGGTAACTTTTTGTTGTCCTTATTTTGGTTGTGTGAGGAGGCACAGTGTATCTACCTATGCCTCTATCTTGGCCAGAAGTCTATTTTATTTATTATGCTACTACAATTTTTCCAATTTTTTCCTCTTTGCTCCGTCCTGGTACTCCCCTTTCCTCCAGCATTCCCACCCCCTTAGTTCATGTCTGTGGGTCATGTATGTAAGTTCTTGGTCTTCACCATTTTTTGTACTGTTCTTAAGATCCTCCTGAATATTTTGTACCTAACAATTATGCTTCTTAATCCCTGCACATTTACTCCCAATCTCCCCCTCCAAGCTGATAACCCTCCAAGTGATCTCCATATCTATGATTCTGTTCCTGTTTCTGATTGTTTGCTTAGTTTGCTTTTTTGATTCAGTTGTTGATACTTGGGAATTTGTTGCCATTTTAATGTTCATAGTTTTGATCATCTTTTTTTTCTCAAATAAGTCCCTTTAACATTTAATTTAATAATGGCTTGGTGGTGATGAGCTCCTTTAGCATTACCTTGTCTGGGAAGCACTTTATCTGCCCTTCCATTCTAAATAATAGTTTTTTTAGATAGAGTAATTTAGGTTGTAGGTACTTGTTTTTCATCACCTTGAATAGTTCCTGCCAATCCCTTCTTGCTGGCAAAGTTTCTTTTGAGAAATCAGCTGGTAGTCTTATGGGAACTCCTTTGTAGGTAATTCTCAGCTTTTTCTCTTGCTGCTTTTAAGATGTGCTCTTGATCTTTAACCTTTGGCATTTTAATTATGTGTATTGATGTGGTCCTCTTGGGGTCCAACTTGTTTGGGACTCTGTGCTTCCTGGACTTGTATGTTTATTTCCTTCACCAAATTAGGCAATTTTTCTTTCATTATTTCTTCAAATAAGTTTTCAATTGCATGCTCTTCCTCTTCTCCTTCTGGCATTCTTATGATTTGGATATTTGGAGATGTCCTAAGCCTATCCTCATTTTTAAAAATTCTTGTTTCTTCTTTTTGTTCTGATTGAATGATTATCTCTTCCTTATATTCCAAATTGTTGATTTGAATCCTAGCTTCCTTCCCATTCTCTGTTGGTTTCCTGTGGATTATTATTTATTTCACTTAGTGTAAACTTTATTTCTTCCTTTATTTTTTTGCCCTACTCAAGGTGTTCTCTGAGCATCTTGATAACCAGTATTTTGAATTCTGTATCTGTTAGGCTAGCTATCTCTGTTTTGCTTAGTTCTTTTTCTGGGGTTTTGTTCAGTTTTTTCATGTGGCCCATATTTCTTTGTCTCCTCAATTTGGCAGGCTCCCTGTGTTTGTTTCTGTGTACTAGGTAGAGCTGCTTTTACTTCCTGTCTCAGTAGCATAGCATACATTGTAAATTGTATAGGGAAGAGCCTTAGGTAATTGCCTTGGCAGGACAACCAACTTCACCACTTTGTGTCTGCGTGGGAGATAGTTCAGAGAGGGGACAGTGCTCCTCCTGGCTTCTGGCAATTTGTCTGGTACTCACCCTGGTTCCAGTCATTTCACTTCCTTCCCATGTATAACTGGTACCCTTCCAGCTGCTGCCCAGGTGCTGAGTCCCTGTGCAGGTAGGTTTGCACACATTCTAGGGCCATGCTGGCCCTTGAATTAGCAAAAATCCAGCCATTTCTTCAGCCACCCCAAACCCACTAGTTTTTAACACCAGATCTAACAGGGATCTATCTTCCCAAGTGCTGGAACCCTACACGTTGGGCTGGGATCACTTGCTTCCAAAGTATCCCTCCCATCCATTGTCCTTTCCATGGCCACCTTTGCCTTTCTGCTCCACTCCACTCCTCTTCCCTTCTCTATGACTCTGCCCCTGCTACCCAGCTGGATGAATGTCTTCTTTAAATCCTTGGTTTCGGAACTTCCAATACAGCTTGATTTTCTGACAGTCCTGAGTGTTAATAGTTTTGAGATCTGGTTGCAATTCTTTCTATGGTCGAGCAAGGAGGCAAAACATGTATGCCTATGCCTCCATCTTGACTGGAAGTCTGAATTATAATAATCTTATTTATTCTCAGAACTTGAGTTCTGTCTTTTTTGTCAATGCCTCTGAATGGACATACTCAGCTTATTTCTGCCACCTTTACCCTAGTCCTTTAGGAGTTTTACAATATAATGTCTTACCTATTTTGTGGCATATATTGGACATAAAAATCACTTAACTTTTCTAGCTCTTAAATTCTTTTCCCTCATCTATTTCTAACTTATTTTTCATTTTTCCTGCCTGATACCAGCTTGATTCTTCTATCTCTGCCATCAGTTCTTATGGTTCTCTTTACAATTTATGTATGTGTATCAGCCTCTGAAATATATTTGCTTCTCCCGTATTTACATTTGTCACTGACATTATACAGAATAACTATCTTATTTTTTGTCTTGATTATTGTATTCAAAGTTGGTCTTCACTATAATTTTTCCTAGTTCATTAAAATTATATTGTTACTGCCCTGGCTGGTGTAGCTCAGTGGATTGAGCGCGGGCCTGCGAACCACACAATTGCAGTTCAATTCCCAGTCAGGGCACATACCGGGGTTGCAGGCCGGTTCCCTGCAGGCCAGTTCCCAGCAGGGGATGCACGAAAGGCAACCATACATTAATGTCTCTCTCCCTTTCTCCTTCCCTTCCCCTCTAAAGATAAATAAATGAAATCTTTAAAAAAAATTATATTGTTACTTCTCTGACAAGATATGTCACTTGTTACCTGTTATTTATTTTTTATATGAAATTAAAATTCCTCATCATTCAAGGTCTAACATAATAAGCTCTAATCTGGTCTCTTTAATTTTATTTCCCTCTCTTGTGGGAAACTCTTGGTAATTTCCACTTGATCCAATGTACTAACTTTTTTCTAAATATGTAGGATTTGTCATATTTGTACTTTTCATTATATTATGTTCTCCCTTCAACAAAATGTGTATTTTATGGTTCAGTCTTGAGCTTTCTTCTCCATGAACTATTCCTTCACTACTCATGTCATATCCATAGTTTTCTTTTTCTGTGACTTTCCTTGCTACTTATGAACTGGAACATACACAGTACTTGGATATGATTATATCATGTAATACCTGATTGTACATGGTTTATGCTTAAGGATTCTTTCTGTCAAAGGTAAGATCCCCTGTTTCTGACTTTGTGGTAGTGTATAATTTGTTTAGGTATTCAATAATTCCATGACCCGTTTGTGAAGCTATACAGGAGAACCATCTGTTTTCCTCAGTCAGAAAGTATGTACTTATAAGTTCCTGTTAGATATACCTGTATAGCCTATGTCTGTATACATTCTGAATGAAACATTTGGTTTCTATCAAGCACACCACCTGTGATACACAGTATTAATGTAAACGTTTTATGGGTGAGATTTGTCAACTAGGGGAACAATCCTTAACACTTGTTAGAATATAAAGATTGATTCTAGGGGATTTAAAGTTTTTTTTTATAGGATAAATTCCTTATATGTTAGTGTTGGTGATAATGGACTCAAGGCAGAAAAAGATTTTGGAGCCTAAATTTAACATCGTTCTACCATATTTGGATTAGTAAAAAGTGACATAAGTCAAATATAGCTCTAAACTTATAAGAGAAATGAAAGTTAAAGTTAAGGAATGATCTAGAACCAGAGTGAGCAATCTCATCTGGAGTTAAGGGAATGTTACCGTATTAGGGAAAGACTTGAATAGTATTTCTTTAAACCTGAATAAAATAAGCCATCAATTGAAAAGAGGAATAGTTATAATTGATGGTCATGAGAGTTTTTTAATTGAGTAATTCTGAAAAGATTGGTAGTAACAGCAATCTGAATACACCAGTGAATATAACCCTAGTCTGTTTTAAATTTCCTGTTGTGTTTTTCTGGCTTTTGTCACAAGAGGAAATTTTCTTAGCTATATAAAGGATTAGACCCACAATATAGGATAGTTTTTCTAGGCACTGGGAAATTAATTGATGCTTAGAATTTTTAATTTACCAATGATGGCTACAAGGATAGGAATGGTAAAACAACTGGAAGTTTTTACCTTGCAATTTAGAGATGATATAGAAAAATATAGGCCTTGTTCTGTGTCTTCCAGAGGCAATCCTCCCTCTAATGTTTTCTCTGAATAAGCTTTTCTACTAATCTTGTTTATCCTATTTAAAGATTAAGGCCCTTGATAAGTTCACTTAATTGCCTCTGAATCTGCCCATCTAAGCATCAATCCCTCTTCCTCCATTTTTGTCTTCTTTTCACTGCTTCTTGTGTTCAGTCAACTTTATGTATGAATTTCTGTTACAAAGTGGAAAAGTTATTAGCATTCATTTCTTATTTTTTTAATTCTTTTCCACACTGAAGCAGAGGTGTCAGAGGTGTATTTAGCTTCTGTGTCCCAGGAAGGGAGTAATTTGTCTGAGGTCTTCTTTGGACTCATATAATAGACCCTAATTCAATTCCTTTTCATAGCAAATGTGTGAAGAGTCACAAGTTGTTAAATTTTTTTCTAGAACAAAACTGGAATGCCGAAGATGTTTTAGTGAAATTTAAAGAATGCCAAGATAAGTATTCTAGATCAGTTGTACTCATCAGTCACACAAAACTGATTAAGAAGAACAGTAATGCATGTGACAGGACATTTACTTTAAGCAAAAACTCTATAAATTCAAAAAATCTAATTCCTGAATATAACAGTCATGGAAATATTTTCAAAAATGTATCAGAATTAATCATAAGTAATCTAAATTCTGCAAGAAAGAGTCATAATGAATATAATAGACATGAGAAATCACTCTTCAATAGTAAACCAGAGACAGCTCACCATGGAGTCAAATCCCATAATCAACATGATAGAGGTATCAGTCATAATGAAGTGCTGATGCAATATCATAAGATGGAAACTCCAGCACAGTCATTTGAATATAATGACTGTGAAAAATTATTGCTTAAAAAGGGAGGTTTACTTACACATAATAGAGCTTACAGGAATGAAAACCCATCTGAATGTAATAAAAGGAGAAGAGCAACCAATATTGAAAAAAAACATATATGCACTGAATGTGGGAAGTCCTTCTGCAGGAAGTCAGTATTGATTCTGCATCAGGGGATTCACACAGAGGAAAAACCTTATCAATGCTATCAATGTGGAAATTCATTTAGAAGAAAATCATATCTCATTGATCATCAAAGAACCCACACAGGAGAGAAACCCTTTATTTGTAATGAATGTGGTAAGTCGTTCCGCCTAAAGACAGCCCTCACTGATCATCAGAGAACACATACAGGGGAGAAATCATATGAATGTTCACAATGTAGGAATGCCTTCAGATTGAAGTCACACCTTATTCGTCATCAGAGAACTCATACAGGAGAGAAACCATATGAGTGTAATGACTGTGGGAAGTCTTTCCGCCAGAAAACAACACTTTCTCTACATCAAAGAATTCATACAGGAGAAAAGCCCTATATTTGTTTAGAATGTGGGAAGTCCTTTCACCAGAAGGCAAATCTTACTGTACATCAGAGAACTCATACAGGGGAAAAGCCCTATATTTGTAATGAATGTGGGAAGTCCTTCTCCCAGAAGACAACCCTTGCTCTTCATGAGAAAACTCATAATAAGGAGAAACCCTATATTTGTAATGAATGTGGTAAGTCTTTCCGCCAGAAGACAACCCTCATAGCACATCAGAGAACACATACTGGGGAAAAATCTTATGAATGTCCTCACTGTGGGAAGGCCTTTAGAATGAAGTCATATCTCATTGATCATCACAGAATTCACACAGGAGAGAAACCATATGAATGTAATGAATGTGGAAAATCCTTCAGTCAGAAGACAAATCTTAATCTACATCAGAGAATTCATACAGGGGAAAAACCCTATATTTGTAATGAATGTGGGAAGTCCTTTCGTCAGAAAGCAACCCTCACTGTCCATCAGAAAATACATACAGGTCAGAAATCCTATGAATGTTCTCAGTGTGGGAAAGCCTTTAGCAGGAAGTCATATCTCATTCATCATCAAAGAACTCATACCGGAGAGAAACCGTACAAATGTGATGAATGTGGAAAGTGCTTCCGCCAGAAGACAAATCTCATTGTACATCAGAGAACTCACACAGGGGAGAAACCCTATATTTGTAATGAGTGTGGTAAATCCTTCAGTTATAAGAGAAACCTCTTTGTCCATCAGAGAACTCACAAGGGAGAAAACATGGACATGCAATAAATGGTGTGATTTCTTTGTGAAGCCTTCCTTCCAAAGTTATTTCAAAACTTTAGTTTTTTTTTAAAGCATGCTAATAAGGTAATTTTAATTACAAATGTAATAGCAGTTAATAATTTAAAGTGCCATACAGCATAACTGTTTTACTGTTTAATACTATAAAAATGGATATGATCATTATTACTGAACTCTATTAGCAGTGAATCTAATTTTTTAATATTTTGTGTTCTACTGGCTCAGTTTATTTTTAAAAGACTTTAATACATGGAGAGGCAAAATAAAATAATGGTTATGAACAGTTTTCATAAGAGAAATGAAATATGAACTATATTTCTCATTGCACTCAGTGAAATAAAAAGTAGTTGTTACTTCCTCTAAGTTGATCACTTTCCTGCCCTGTAACATTATGAAGTAGTTTTTGCATGTCTTTATATATTTTTATCCTATATCATAAATTCTTTGTGTCTTTTTTCACTCAACATTCTGAAATTCATACATTCTTGTATGGGCAGCAGTGTCTTTATATTCCTTTGTTTACTATTTCATTTTAAGACTATACCACCGTTTATCATCTTGATGGTGATTTGTATTTTTTTATAATTTTGTGCTGTAATGAAAATATTGCTATAAATATTCTTGTATAGTTTGTGTGTGTATGTATTTCTGTTAATTTTATACTAAGACTGAAATTACTCCACCTAAGTGTGTATTTAAACTTTTTCAGCTTATGATAGATACTGCCAAACATCTCACAGATTTTCCAACATAAGATGATTCACTTTGAAAAGTAACAACTCTGATTGCAGTCAGTGTGGATGAAGGTCTTCAACAAGACCTTTCATTCAATTGGGGAATTCCTATTAAAAACAAATCCTTATGATGTCATTATTATGACAATGTTGTTCATTGTGAATATATGAATGTCAGTAGTATAAAAAGAGCTTTAGCTGTGGCTAAAACCTTACATAATGATGGAATCCTGTAAGCGTCATGATTATAGGGGTAATTTTAGTTCTAGTTTGTATCTTATTCAACATCAAAGAGTTCATATTAGAGAAAGGGAGGATAAGAAGGGACACAGGTGAGTAAAATTTTTAAGCATCGTAGTCACAGTGGACACAGTTATAAAAAATATGTATAAGTAAGCCTATATATAATATAATAAGCATATGTAAAATAAGCCTTTTATAGCTTGGTTTATCTTACAGAACCTATGGTTCCCTAGAATTTTCAAGTGAAAACTCACTGAAGAGGTTTTGATCTTTGAAAACTGGAGATGTGCTAAGACAATAGCATCTGTACCATCTTTTCTGTGAAAATAGTAAGCTCAGCAGCAACTTGAATAGTGTTACTAAATGCCCTTCTCAAGGAGGTTGGTTTTAACCCATATTTACTACATACAATTACTGTAATAAAATTTCGTAGAAATTAGAGCCCTGGGTGGTGTAGCTAAGTGGATTGAGTGTGGGTTAAGGGTCACTGGTTCAATTCCCAGTCAGGGCACATGTCTGGGTTTCGAGCCAGGTCTCCAGTGGGGGGCCACATGAGAGACAACCACACACTGATGTTTTTCTCTCTCTCTTTCTCCCTCCCTTCCCCTCTCTTTAAAAATAAATAAATAAAACCTTTAAAAATAAAATAAAATTTTGTAGAAATTAAAATAAGCAACAGGGTTTCCTGCCCCCCCCCCCAAAAAATAGAACTGTAAACTAGCTCTAAATAAGCAGAAAAATCATTGATAGCTCAAGTATCTGACAAAATAATGTTTAATAAGCCCTCTGGCCTATAGAAAGGAGCAGCAATTGCCAGTGGATAGTAAATGGAAACATATTATCAGTCCTGGTCTTACACATAATTTCAGAGCATAAAAGAACAATCAGTGATGAGAAAAATCAGACATGATAAAAATTTAGACTTGGACATAAGATAAAAGCTATCATGCCTTTTCTGACTAGAGAGAACTTTGTGATATTTAGTTTTAACAAATAATCACTATGCTTAGACACTTTTTTAAAGAGTGCAGGCAGGATAAACATATAGTAAAATAACTACAACAAGTAAGTAAGACTACAGGTTCTATATTCCAAAATATGAAAACCTAGGAATTATTTCATTTGAATAAACCTATTTTTAGATGAGCAAATACTATTATATGCTAACAGTGGTGACTACTAACACAAGAATTGTACTCATGACTATGGATGCAAGCCTTCCTCTTTTACCTGGATATGTAGTGAGTGGAAGGCATGGTCTAACTGCAGCTGTTTGTTCCAGCCTGAACCCATGAAAAATATTGGGAATGTGTATACCACATTCTCTTGAACATTCTATGCCTTGTTTTTGCTCTCCTTGGTACTTCCATGGTTGTCACAAAAGTGTAAGTTTTCTGGCATCCCTACATATACTATTTTTCTTCCTGATTTACTGATTATATCATGAAAATAGCCATGTTTTGTTTGTAGTAGACAAAGTATGCATATGCTACTTTATTTTTATACATAAGACATTATATTCATGTTTTGTAAGTGTTGTGTATAAGGTACTAGTATGTATGGTGTACTAATGGATAGTGTTTAAATAACTAAACTTAAAAGTACAGATGTGCACTCAGGTGATTAGGATGTTTTCTTACCTAAAAGAACTGTTTAGTGTAGGAAGTTCTGCACACAAATCTTAAAAGTATTTTTATACCAATCATTGGGTATCTCTCTATACTTATGCTCTTAGCTGTTTCCCAAGATTGTAACTTCTACTCTCCTATCATAGTTGCTATAGCCACCAAAATAAATGAGTATATATCACTAACAGGGAGGGAGGAGAAGGGGTGTTATTAGAAGAGACATATTGCTACGGAATTCATTCTAACAAAAATTTTTTAATTGAAAATACACATTCTGGGCAGGCAGAAAATATCATAAACCTGTTTTTGTATTTTATATTTACATTTTTTCCCAAATCCTATATTAAGCCCTCTCATACAAATCTCTGAAACCATGTATTGCAGGGAACCATTTTGTTTCAGTCTGGCAAATGTGACTGAGCACTGTATGGAAGACCTATAGGAGCGAAGTGGTGGGCAGGAGCCAGACCCTCAAACTGGGTTTCCCCATGGGAATCAGGCCTAGAAAATGCATTCAGACTGTTATGGCTTGCTCTTGCTACAACTCCCTCACCCTGGTCTGAAACAGTAGATGTTTATTGTCTATCTTCAAGGTAATTTCCAAAGCCTGAGTGACTTCTCCCAAGGACAGAGCTAATCAGCTCACCACTTTTCCCTTCTGCATTTGTTATTTTCATTTCTTTGATTGTACCTAAAAAGATGTAGAGAACAATATTCTGTGTAATAGAAAATAAATCCTTCTATGATGTAAGACCCAAGAAAAACAATAAAAGCCTGTCCAGGCAAGGGTCAGTGCACTCTCCCCTTGAGAGAAGTGGCTGCAGTACTCTCATCTTAGGGGAGTACCATACCTTCCCTTTATCTCCACAGGATTGCTGTAGTCTGTGCATTTGTTTTTTGTCTTCAGCTACAACATGCAGAGTCTGCTGGCCAGAGTCTGCCATGATATATATCAGTTGGCCGAGGAGGAAAGGAACAATGAAAAGACATTCTGCAAAAGTTCAGCTATAAAAAGTTATCCTATACCCCTGGTCAGTATGGCTACGTTGGAGTGTGATCCTATAGACCAGGGATATCCAACCTTTTGGCATCTCAGGGCCACACTGGAAGAAGAGTTGTCTTCAGCTACACATTAAATACATTGCTACATGTACAGTAATCACAAAAAATTTTCATAATGGCCCTGGCTGGTGTAGCTCAGTGGATGAGCGCAGGCCTGCAAACTGGAGGATCACTGGTTCAATTCCCAGTCAGGGCACATGCCTGGGTTACAGGCCATGTCCCCAGTTTGGGGCACGCAAGAGGCAACGACATGTTGATGTTTCTCTCCCTCTCTTTCTCCTTCACTTCCCCTGTCTCTAAAAAATAAATAAATAAATAAAATCTTTTTTCTTTTAATCTCATAATGTTTTGAGTAAACTTCTGATTTTGTGTTGGGCCACATTTATAGCTATCCTGAGCTACATGTGCCCTGTGGGCTGCAGGTTGGACACTCCTGCTAGACCAAGAGGTCTCAGGTTCAATTCCCAGTCAGGGCACGTGCCTAGGTTGTAGGTTCAGTCCCAGTTGGGGTACATGTAAGAGGCAACTAATCGGGATTTCTGTGTCACATCAATGTTTCTCTACCTCTCTTCCTCCATTTCCCTCGCAGAAAATACGCATGTCCTTGGGTGAGGATTAAAAAATATATATCCCATCTTAAGTGTCCCTGCAAAAAATTCAAAGAAGTGGCAGATAGGAGATTTTCTATATGATTTACTTTTTAAATTTTAGCTTTTGCATTTGAAACTAAGTACATCTAATTTTATATATATACCACTTTTTAAAATATACACCACAATACTTTTAGAAATATGCCACAGTTTGTAGATTTAACTACTAAACTTCTGGTGATTTCTCATGGCAGCCACAGAAAACTAATACATATTTTGGTACTAGGAAACGGGATTTACTGAAACAAATACCTAAAAATGTGGAAGTGCCTTTGAGTACTGGTAATGGGTAGAGGCTGGATTTTAAGACACACGATAGTAAAGGCCTAGATTACCTTTAAAAGACAATTTAAAGTCTAGATTGCCTGTTTGGTTTATGAAGGTTAAAGGCATCCCCAGTGCAATTTTAGGAAGAGAAGAGTAAGACAGAGAAAGCTTATGTATATAATGAAGAAGAAGAAGAAGGAGAAGGAGAAGAAGAAGAAGAGGAAGAAGATGTTTGTAGAAATATTGACATTTAATGGCACTTCTAGTGAGAACTCAGAAGGAAATGAGGAAACTTGTTAGAAACTGGAGGAAAGATAATGCTTGTTACATAGTAGCAGAAAATTCAACTGAATCTCTGTGCTACAGTTGTGTGAAAAGTTGTGTGATAATGGAAAGGTGTAATGGCCACCATAATGAGAAGGTGTCTTAAGACTAAAGAATAATGCAAGCAACTTCATAGAATATAATGAATTTATTATTATAAGGGAATTTACTTATAGGGGTATAGGATAAAAGCAAACAAATGACCCAATACTCTTCACTAACAGACTCCTAATACAGTACTTTTTTATTACAGCATAACTCAGGTACAAGTGATTGACCAGACAAAGGGACTAAGAATGCAATATGCATCAGGGGTCATACCTCCTGGTGATTTTGTAATGGATGATTGTTTATAATTGATACTATCACCAGTTTGATAGTTATCTCAGTTGTCATGCCACTCTGACACTAAAAAAAAATATGGCTATGTTGTATAAGTTTAGGGAACACAGATAATCTTCAACTGGAAGAGTTTAGTATGCTTGCTAAGGACAATAAAATTGGTTAACAGTCACAGCATGAAATCCAAAGTACAAAGGTGGAGTTGGTTTTTTGTTTACAGTCACATCTACACAGAAAAGCAAACTTCTAAGTGAGGAACTTGGATATTTGGCTGAAGGGAT